GTTTTAGCCTGCACTCCAGGACCTTCAGATACTGGCCTGGCCCCATTGTCTCAGTCCCCATCACTTTGGCATCTTCTTAAATCGTTTTCTGTTTCCATCCACAAAGAAGTTATTGGCCAGGGCACAATATTGAAAAACATCTGAAGAAATCTTTGACGGGGTCTCGCATAGCCCAGGCTGGCCTCTAACTGTCTGTAGAGCTGAGGATGACCTTGAATTCCTGATTTCTTGCCTGTCTGTACCTCCTGTGCTGGCATTATTGGTATGTACCACCACAACTGGTACCACTAACTTGCCTGATGTTCCCGAACCAAGGGCCCACACATGCTCGGCAGGCATTTACTAACTCAGCCGCGTTCCCCATTTTTAATGTTTTTGAAATTTTTTAATGAACACATTGCCACCGTTGCCACAGGGGCTTTAGTGGTAGAGCACTTGACTAATGTGTGTGGCCCTGAGTTCCATCCCAACGTGAGTAAACCGGGCTGATGGGATGGCTTGATGGGTGAAGGTGCCTGTTGCTAGGCCTGTCGTCTGTCTAGACCCCTAAGGAACTCACACAGGTTGTCTCCTGACTGCCACGCAAGTGTTACATACCCAATAGATAAATGAATAAGTAAATAAAGTAAAAAAAAAATTAAGTTAATAACAGCTACCCCTGCTCACTTCAGTCAGTGATGTGTTTTGTTTTCGGTTTGGTGCTTTTCTCTTAGACAGCCTTGTCCATGTGTACAATGCGTTCTGGTCACTCACCCTCCCCACCTCACCTTCCGACCACCCCTGTCAATCACTCTCCTCTTCCCAACAAGTCCCCTTCTCATGTCTTTTGTTTATGTTGTTTCTTGGCCCACCCAGTTTAACTAGGGTAGCCCCAGACCACGGGTCTGGAGCTACGTGATGCATGGGCCAGCTACCGGTGTCTGTACCACTGAGGCCATGACTGATCTCCTCCAGCTGTCTGCTACCCATAGTTCCTCAGGGAGAGGCAGGGCTGTGGCCTCATGAGCTCCTGGCCATCGATGGCTGGGCCCAGTCTTGCACAGATGGAGAGTGTTTAAAGTTGACAGGGCCTCGGCTGTCAGTGGCACTCAGTCTTGGAGCAGCCCGGCTTTCGGCAGACAGGTGGGTTATGCAACAAAACCCAACGTGCTGATGATCCAGGTCAGTAATAGAACTCTTGCCCGGCAGGTGCGAGGGGCCGGGCTGCATCCCTGGTACCACAAAAGGAAAAAAGAAGCCGATGACGCAGCCTGCGTACAAGGTCCATCTGTAAACATGCTAAATATTTGAAAATTACAGTTATCAGGACGGAGAGAGCGGCTCAGTAATAGCACACTCACCTGGCATGTGGAAATCTTTAGGTTCAAGGCCCACCACAGGGGAAAAAGAAAACAAAACAAATCTTACAATATCAGGAAAGGTGAGCCGGTTTATAGGTGAAATAAAGCTATCTGGAAATGGTTTACCAAAATTTCTGAACCTGGACCTAAATATATATATGTATATGTGTGTGTTTGTATGTATGTATGTACATGTACATACATGCCTGTATTATTTTATGTACACGAAATGAAATTGTCAGTCTACGCTTACACTTTAAATGTTTTATGTGTATGGATGTTTTGTTTTAATGTGTGTCTGTGGTGCTATGGGACTGAGTTCCAGACAGGCCACCAGTGGGTGCTGGGAACTGGACCCAGGTCCTCTAAAGGAGCAGCCGGTGTTCTTAATGGCTGAGCCATCTCTCCAGGCAACATTTATCACTTTAAAACCCAAGTCTAACCAGGACGGAAATCTAAACTAGAAAGAGAAGTTTCTCTATCAGAATCTAATAGCTTCTTTTATGAACTACTTGTCCAAAGCTCTAAATAATTATCAAAGCAACAAAACCCACTCATAGTATTGTCTCTCAAAACAAGATTTATGTGTGAGCAAGTTGGTATGTTTGAGTTAGCACATTGGGGGTGGGGATGGGCATCCATGCCAGCTTGCTCCAGGGATCCTCTGTCCCTGACTCTCAGTTCCTGGGATTATAGGTGCCTCCCTGGCTTTTAAGTGAGGTCTGGGTTCCAAAATCCATACCTCACATTTGCATGGTAAACATCTTATCAACTGACCAGTTCAAAACTAGGCATTTCTTAAGCAAAGAGATCAGAAATAATTACTTTTTAATTTTGTTTTGTTTTGAGGCAGGGTTTCTCTGTATCTCTCTGGCTGTCCTGGAACTTGCTCTGTAGACCAGGCTAGCCTTGAACTCAGAGATCCACGTGTCTCTGCCTCCTGAGTGCTGAAATTAAAGATGTGCACTACCACCAGGCTGTAATTACTTTTATTAAAAGACTAGTAGGTTCCCCACCTTTAAGATAGGGTCTCATATAGCCCAGGTTAGCCTTGAACTTGCTATATAGCTGAGGCTGGCCTTGAATATTCTCTCTTTCTCTCTCTCTTACTAAAAAATGTATTTTATGTGTATGGGTGTTTGCATGTATGTATGTGCACCACCTGGGTGCCTGGAGCCTGCTAGGGTCAGAAGAGGGCATTGTATCCCCGGGGTCTGAAGTTACAGATGGAACTGCCATGTGGGTGCTAGGAATCGACCCTGGGTCCTTAATAGGAGCAACACATGATCTCAACTGCTGAGTCAACTCTCTAGCCCCTTTAGTTTTACTTTTAAGATATGGTCTCACTATGTAGTCCTTGCTGTCTTTGGACCCATGGTCTTCCTGCCTCAGCCTCCTGAGTACTAAGATTACACATGTGTACCTCTGTGCCAGGGTAGGAGACTATAACTCTTCATGGAAGTGCCTGAAACTGTAGTTTGTATTTGACACCCATGAATATACTTTCTTCTGTGTCTATGTTATATGCTGCTATTACTCAGGATGTTAAAATTGCTATTATGCTACCAACATCACACAGTCTTAATTTGTGGTACATTACTGCAGGGTGCCTGCTTAGCATATGCAAATAAGGTTCTCAGGGCTGGTTATAAAGGTCCTGAGGGGGGAGAGAGAAAGCTCTCGTGTGCTCCAGGCCCATGGAATGCCGAAGACTCATGGTTTCTCTTTTCCTCCGCCCCCTGCTATTTTCCCAGACTCAGATCCCCAGCAATTCCGCCTGTCCGTCTCAGCAAGGCCACGATGAACCGAGGAATCTCTTTTAGGCACCTGTTCCTGGCGCTGCAGCTGGGTAAGTTCTCAGACTCGAGGACCAGCAGCAGATGGTGCGGGAGGTGGGCGGACTGCAGACGCTCGGAGGGAGGTGGGCGGACGGCAGACGCTCGGAGGGAGGTGGCGGTAACCTTGAAGCCTGATCTTCTTTTCTACCCAGCACAACTGGCAGCTGTCTCTCAGGGGAAGACGGTGGTGCTGGGCAAAGAAGGGGCGTCGGCGGAGCTGCCCTGCGAAGGCTCGCAGAAGGGCCGCCTCTTCTTCTGGAAGCTCCCTGACCAGACGAGGATTCTGGGACACCAGAATAATTTTTTGACTAAAGGTAGGGTTCCCTGTTCCCCAACCCGGGGAGGAAAACAGTGAGTTGAATGAACTTGTTGGAAATCAGTTCTAGGAAGTCCAGTGTTCCATGGTGGCTAGGGTTGACAAAATCTCAGTGGTTCTCTCTTCTGGGATTTCCTTTCTCCAGCTGTTGATGGCAAATGGCTTCTGGTGGAGTCTTAATTTTGTTCTTTTAATATCCATGACTGTAATGGACAGTGGAAAATCATCATATAAAGTATATGATTTCAAAAATATTATTACTATAGACCATGAAGATTATATGATACTTGGTTTAATACCATCAAAAGCAACAACTAGTGAGAGATATAGAGTGTCTAGAACATCTAAGGGCCTAGATTTGATTTCCCAGCAAAAAAAAAAGAAAAAAACAAACAAACAAAAAAAAAGTCAAGAGGTGGTGGTGTAACCCTTTAATCCCGGCATTCGGGGGGCAGAGACAGGTGGATCTCTGAGTTCAAGGCCAGCCTAGGATACAGAATGAGTTCCAGGACAGCCAGGACTACACAGAGAAACCCTGTCTCAGAAAATCAAAACAAACAACCCCACAAAAACAAAAACAAAAATTCATGTCCTGTGATCCTAGCATTAGGAGACTAAGGCAAGAAGGTGATAAGTTCTGGGGTCATATACCAAGACTGTCTCAAAAACAAATAAAATGTGTTTATTTCATCTTAAAAGTGAACATACTGTGAGCAAGTTCCAGGCCAGCCAGGGCTACACAGAGAAACCCTGGCCTGAACAATAAACAAACAGCATGCCCGAGTACATTCTAAGAGGCTGTATAAAGTAGATGCATTTGGCTAGACTATGTACGATGTCTGAAGGGCTGGAGTTTGGGAAAGAGCTGCAGTCCACTTACAGTCTTCTTGGTAGGCAGCTGAGGCCCCGCTCCAAGCACTTAGAGGCAGAGCTGGGACTGGAGTGCTGGCCCAGGGCCTCCTCTAGAAAGCTGTGTTCTAGGCAATCCGATCCTGCTTGATATCTAGACAGGTGTTTTAAAGATGGGTCTATATTCTAGGTGTATAAATACATACGCTCGGGCTGGTGAGATGACTCAGCCGTTGAAGGTGCCTGCTGCCACGTCTGCTAACCTGACGTTCAGTTCATGACCACAGCTTGTCCTCTGAGTCCCACGTGTGCTCTGTGGCACACGTGAGTGAGCACTCTCACACACACTCTAAATAAACTAGTAAATATTTTAAATTTTTAAAAAATATTTATAGTCATCTGAAGTAGACATGTATAACTGCTTAATTCCTTATTCAACTCTACTATGATTTACTTGACTAATTCCACATCGTTGGACATTTAGGCTTTTTTCAGCTTTGTTACAACAAGAGCATCTCCAGTGGATAATTTGTGCCTTTGAGCACATTTTGCAAATACTTTCTTTCTTTCTTTCTTTTCTTTCTTGCTTTCTTTCTTTCTTTCTTTCTTTTTCTTTTTTTTTTTTTTTTTGGTTTTTCAAAACAGAGTTTCTCTGTGTTGCCCTGCCTGTCCTGGAAATATCTCTGTAGAACAGACTGGCCTCAAACTCACAGAGATTCCCCTATGTCTAGCTCCAAAGTGCTGGGATTAAAGGTGTGCAGCCTCTGCCTAAGGAGGGTGGAAAAGGATGTCAGGTCCACTGGAACTGGAGTTCAAACAGTCATGAGCCACTGTATGGATGTTGGGGACTGAACCTGGGTCCTTGGATAGAAAAGTCAATGCTCTAACTCCTGAGCCATCTCTCCAGCTCCAAATATCTTAGTTTATTTTGTGTGTGTGTGTTGGGGGGGGGGGCACTTGATTAGAGACAAGATCTTACTCAGTAATCCAGGCTGGTCTCAAACTCCCAATAACCCTCCTTTTGGGATTACAGGTGGTCATCAGACCTGGCTTTCAACAAGGCTTATCTCTGTAGGCACGGTGATAACATACTTTTAATCCTAGCATTTGGTAGATCTCTGTGAGTCTGAGGCCAGCCTAGTATACATAGCAAGTTATAGAACAGCCAGGGCCGCATAGAAAGACCCTGTCTCAAAGCAAACAAACAAAGATACATCCCCCACACAAATCTTATCTCATTCCTAAAGACCTACCCCGCCCCCCCTCCCCCCACTCCCCACCTCTATCCCCCCTCCCGGTTTCATCAGATGCCGTTCAAACTTGACATGAGCGTCAAGTTTACTTAGCGTCAGATTACTGGGTTTAAATTCATTCAGAGACAAAAATTCTCTCTAGCTATGACCCCATGAAACTAGACAAATCATGTGCTCCTAAAAGAGAATGATGGACGGGCACAGGGTAGACGACTTCCCATCCCAGAAGAAGAAATGGAGAAGGAAGGGGTGCTGGATTTCTAGGAAGTCCAGACCTTGGCGAGTTCCATTAGAGATTTTCTTTTTTCTTTTTGGTTTTTCAAGACAGGATTTCTCTGTGTAGCCCAGGCTGTCCTGGAACTTGCTCTGTAGACCAGGCTGGCCTCAAACTCACAGATTCACCTGCCTCTGCCTCCAGACAGTCATGTGCTGGGAGAGGCCTGCACCATCACCCATGGGCTCATTAGATCTTAAAGGTCAGCATAATCTGCTTCCAGGCTAGATTTGTGCCCAGGGCTCTGCTGGGTGCAGTCCTGTCCCCATGGCAGAGGACAGACAGCCTGTTGAAACCGCGATAATGGCTCTGATGATCCCCGAATCGCCGGTGGGGTGATTTTCCCTCCTCTTGAAAACAGCTCACATTTATGCCTACGTCCCTCTACTGTCTGCCCTTCCAATCAAGGAGTCCACAGCCTTCCCTCATTGCATCCCTGCCTGCCATCATTTATGACCCCTGAGTTCAAACCAGCAATGTTTCTGCCCATATAATCCCATGAAGTCTTGGTGACTGGAACACACTTCCTCATGTTTAGAGTACGAATGGACTGATAAATTTCCAAATCTTTAAGACTGGGTCCTTTTTGCTTAGAAATCTCTTCAGCTAAATACTCAGTTTCATTATTTGCAAATTCTACCTACACAAAACGGTAGAAAATTCACACACTTTAGCCAAGCAAGTCCTTTGCCACTTTGTAGTAAGAATCCAGTTTTCAACATCACAGGCCTCACCTCTTTGTAGACCAGGAGCCCAAGGCCATCTAGAGGTATGGAACAGGCACAGGAACAAATGGACCTCAGTGGAAGGCAGCCTTCACTCACTGAAGACTAGGGAAGGAACAATCTAGAAAGGCAAAAGCCTCTTAGATAATTACTGCACTTCTGCCAACCGTCAGAGGAAACACTGCCTGTTCCCTAATGCATGCCAACACCGAGCAAGGAGCCACACTTCCTCCTCTTGACTGGACTGGAGTGTCCAGACACCTCCACCAGGACGGTGCCCTAGAGGGTGAAGCCGAGAGCTCACTGTTGGTCCAGGCCAGCCTGCCACAGGCTCCCGCAGTACCCGTGGAAAGCTCCAGAAGAGCCTGGGTACTCAGCCCACCCGACAATCAAGAACACCACTTCCTGCAGGGGGGGTGTCAGGGGCTGCTGGTGGAGAGTCAGAACTTCCATCATCAGCCAGCAGCAACGAGACCACCCACTACAATATAGGTGAGATCAGAGTGCAGGCTGGCTTTTCCGCTCAGCCCAGTAGTAATGAGGGGCATGGCCCTCCAGGGTCAACAATGATGGAAGGAATTTGGATTTCTACTTCCATCTGCAGTGATAAGGAGGGGCAGTCCCTGAACAAATATTGGCCAAAAGGAGTCAGTTAAAACAGAAGGTTTAAAACAACCAAAAAATCTTTTTGTTTGTTTGGTTTGGTTTGGTTTTTTGGGTTTTTTGAGACAGGGTCTTTCTGTGTAGCCCTGGATGTCCTGGAACTTGCTATGAAGACCAAGCTGACCTTGAACTCACAGAGCTGAGCCTGCCTCTGCCTCTCGAGTGCTGGGATTAAAGGGTTGTGCCAGCACACCCAGAACAATACAACATCTTAAAGAAACCAACAACAAAAAACTCTTTTTTTTAAAAAAAAGATCTATTTATTTATTATGTATACAGTGTTTTGTCTGCACATACACCTGCAAGCCAGAAGATCAGATCTCATTACAGATGGTTGTGTGCCACCATGTGGTTACTGGGAATTGAACTCAGGACCCTTGGGAGAACAAGCAGTTCTCTTAACCTCTGAGCCATCTCTCCAGCCCCCCAAAAACTCTTATAACATAGTACTCAGGGATTGGGGATCTAGCTCAGTGGTAGAGCGCCTGCCTAGCAAGCGCAAGGCCCTGGGTTCGGTCCTCAGCTCTGAAAAAAAAAAAAAAAAAGACAAAATAACATAGTACTCAAATGTTTAAATGTCCAGCCTTCCTTCCTTCTTCTTCCTTCCCTCCTTACACACACACACACACACACACACACACACACACACACACACACACATACATACACACACACACACACACACACACACAAACACACACGCAATGATTTTTAAAAAAATGTTTAATCAAACTCTAGGAAGGCAAGAAAAGGAATACTGAAATACAGGGCTGAAGGATGTAGTTTGATTGGTAGAGTGCCTGGTATAAAGGAAACCCTGGGCTAGACCCCTAGCACAAAGGAAACCCTGGGCTAGACCCCTAGCATGAAGGAAACCCAGGGCTAGACCCCTAGCACGAAGGAAACCCAGGGCTAGACCCCTAGTACAAAGGAAACCCTGGGCTAGACCCTAGAACAAAGGAAACCCTGGGCTAGACCCCTAGCACAAAGGAAACCCAGGGCTAGACCCTAGAACAAAGGAAATCCTGGGCTAGACCCCTAGCACAAAGGAAACCCAGGGCTAGACCCCTAGCACAGAGGAAACCCAGGGCTAGACCCCTAGCACAAAGGAAACCCAGGGCTAGACCCCTAGCACAAGGGAAACCCTGGGCTAGACCCCTAGCACAAAGGAAACCCAGTGCTAGACCCCTAGCAAACCATAGTCTGGGCCTGAGAGGTTTATTTTTATTTTTTATTTTTTTGGTTTTTCGAGACAGGGTTTCTCTGTGTAGCTTTGCGCAGTAGTTTGTGTAGTTTCCTGGGACTCACTTGGTAGCCCAGGCTGGCCTCGAACTCACAGAGATCCGTCTGGCTCTGCCTCCCAAGTGCTGGGATTAAAGGCGTGCACCACCACTGCCCAGCTCCTGAGAGGTTTATAACACAAGGACTTGGTATATGGAACAAAGATCAGAAGTCCAAGGTCATTCTTAGCTACAGAAGGAGTTTGATGCTAGACTGGGCTACATTAGGCCATATCTCAAAACAAAACAGAAAAATAGAAAAACCAAAACAAAGTAACAGGCACAAATCCTGATATATCAATAATTACATTAGGTATAAATGATCTGCACACATTATAATCATCTACATGCATTGTAACAGTCTGCACATGTAACAATCTACACACATTGTAATAATCTGCACACATTATAACAGCCTACACACATTGTAACAGTGTACACACATTGAACAGTCTGCACACATTGAACAGTCTGCACACATTATAACAGTCTGCATACTTTATAATAGTCTGTACATATTATAATGGTCTACACACATAATAGTCCACACACATTGTTATTATTGTTGTTGTTATTGTACTGTTATTGTTATCTGTTGTAAGACAAAGTCTAACTTTGTAGCCCCAGCTGGCCTGGAATTCACCATGTAAACCAGCCTGGCCTTGAACTCATAGAAATCCTCCCTGCATCTGCCTCCTGAGTGCTGGGATTAAAGATGTGTGCCACCACATTTGGCCATTATTTCTATTTATGTATTCGCTTATTTTGGGCTGTGCTGAAGGTTTGAATCTAGAGTCTCCCGCATGCAGGGCAAGTGCTCTACCACTGAGTTTTATTTCCAGCTTCCAAACATTTATTAACAGAGAGCGTTGAGGGCAGGGATGTAGCTCAGTGGTAGAGTATGGGTGAAGCCCTAGGTTCAATCTACAGTACTTCCAAAAAGGGAGAAAGTAGCAGTAGATAACATTCTTGAAATTCCAGATTATAGGAATGAATAACAGAAACGATGAAGGTCCACAAAGAAAAAGAGGGTGTTTTAGCTTTCTTTCTTTTGTTCGTTTTTTTTTTTTTTTTTCCCTTCAAGATAGGGTTTCACTGTGTAGCCCTGGCTGTCCTGAAACTTATTCTGTAGACCAGGATGGCCTTGAACTCTGCCTGTCTCTGCCTCTCGAGTGCTGGGATTAAAGGCAGGTGCATGCTGCCTCTGCCTGGAGTACCACAGTTTTGTAAGACGCAGCTATTGAGATAAGCTGGGAAAGAGTACACAGGATTTCACGCTCTTATTTCTTACAATTGCATGTGAATCTACATCTCAAACTAGAATAAGATTGGCTTCCATAAACTCAAAACCAAAAGAAGGAAAGAGTTCCACCTATAAAGGACCACGTCAAGGATATTCTACAAAGTGAAAGCCGATCGATAAATATGTCATATAATCCCCTTGGAAAGATTGTTTTTAACCGTGTATGAATGTGTCTGAGTGCAGTTGGGGGAGGATGCCAGAAGAGGGCATTAGATAACCTGGAGCTGAGGTCACAGACTGTTGTCAGCCACTTGACATGGGTTCTGGGAACCAGATTCAAATCCTCTGCAAGAGTAGTATGTGCTCTTAACTGTTGCACCATCTCTCCAGCCCCATTTTAATTTGAACATTGATTGTATGTGAACATGTTTGCATGAGCAAAGAAAAAGGCATGGAAGACCCTGTACCAAACTGTTGCTAGGATTAGAATGACGGACAGAGAAGTGGAAATGTGAAGTCTGAGGGATTTTTGTGGTTTAAATGACTAACCCGAAAAAACAAAGATTGTTTTAAAGCAGCTTTTAAGATGTATGTTATGGCTGGGCAGTGGTGGTGCAAGCCTTTACCTCCAGCACTTGGGAGGCAGAGGCAGAGGCAGGCAGATCTCCAAGTTCAAGGCCAGCCTGGTCTACAGGCTGAGTTCCAGGATAGCCAGGGCTACCCAGAGAAACCCTGGCTCAAACACAAACAGACAAACAAACAAACAAACAGATATATGTTGTGAACATTTCCCATTTCATGCAATATCACATATAAGTATCATTTGAGTGCCAACTCTAGCAGTCCATCAAATAATGTCCTCTAACACACAGCCATGGCGGTTTGGATAAGAAAGGCTCCATAGGCTGCTTGGATGCTTCCTCACCAGGGAGTGGAACTGTTTGAAAGGATCAGAAGAGTCAGGAGGCGTGGCCTTGTTAGAGGAAGTGTGTCGCTGGGAGTGGGCTTTGAGGTTTCAAAAGTCTAGGCTAGCCAGGCCCAGTCTCTGTCTTGCCTTGCTGCCTGTGGATCAGGATGTAGAGCTCTCAGCTACTTCTCCAGCACCGTGCCTCACTGTGTGCTGCTGTGCTCGATGCCACGCTCCCTGCCCTGGTGACAATGGACTAAGTCTCTGAAACTGTGAGCAAAGCCCTAATTAAATGCTCTGTTTTATAAGAGTTGTTGTGGTCACGGTATCTCCTCACAGCAATATAACTAAGACAATAACCATTATCATTTCGTTTTTTTGAGACAAGGTCTTATTTGGTAGCCTAAGCTGCCTTTGAACAGTACGGTAATTCACCTGCCTCAGGCTCTCAAATGCTGGAAATATAGGCATGAGCCACCATTCCAGATGCTATTACTGTTTTACCTGACATAGCATGATATTTAATAATATTATGATTATGATTTTTATTTCAAGATAAGATCTTACCATGTAGCCTACTAAGCCTCCAACTTCCAATGTAGATTAGGCTGGCTTTGAACTTGTGATGCTCCTGCACAGCCTTCCAGATGCTGAGATTCCACAAGTGCACTATCATACCCAGCTAATTATGGTTTCTGTACCTAAATGTTGGCTTGCATTTTAAAAGCATTATTTTTTAAATATTTATTGTTGTTTTTATCACCATCATCATCAGTGTGTGTATTTGTGTATATGGATGTTCTGGGAGTCACTGTGCATGTGTTGAGGTCAGAGGACAACTTTTGGGAGCCTGTTCTCTTCTCCTACTGTGGGTTTCGGGGTTTGAACTCAGGTAGTAAGGCTCTCACGGCAAGCACTTTTACCTGCTGAGCCATCTCACTGTTGTGCTGGCATCGTGAGACACACACACACACACACACACACACACACACACACACACACACACACGCATGCACGCACATACAAGACCACCACAGAGCCGATATCTGATGCAAAATGCACAGGAGTTTATTAATAACAAGCAAGTCCAGGCTTAGTCCATGTCGCAGCGGGTGGAGGAGGATGCCCCTGAGCTCTCTCAGGGTGAGGGGTTTTTAAAGGGAAAAACCACAAGCAGGGTGGTACAAGCCTTTGCATCGTGTGATCTGTCTGCCTCTGCCTCCGATGTTGGCGTTAAAGGAATGCACCACCACTGTCCAGCATAAATAAAAATTTTTGAAGATTTATTTTTTCTTGTATGCGTATGAGTGTTTTGACAGCATGTATGTATGTGTACCATGCATGTGTCTGATACCTATGGAAACCAAAAGAGGGTGTCAGATCCTCCTGGTGTTACAGATGCTTGTGAGCCTCTACATGAGTGCTGGGAAGCAAACCCAGGTCCTCTGCAAGAGCAGAAAGTGCCCTTATCCACTGAGCCATCCCTCCAGCCCAATAATAAATAAAATTATTTAAAAAAAAATATAGGCAGGCCAGGAGTGTGGCTCAGTGGTAGAGCATTTGCCTCTGCGTTCAGTTTCTAACATGGCAAAAATAATTTTTTTTCCTTTTTCTTTTTCTTTTTCTTTTTGATGTGTGTGTGCTATATGTGCGTGTGAGTGTGTAGGTAGCCGAAGGGGGCCATCAGATGTCCTGCTCTATCACTCTACCCCTTATTTCTTTGAGACGAGGTTAATCTGGAGGTCAGCAAGCCCCTGAGATCTTCCTGTCTCTGCCCTGTACAGCAACGGGGTTGCTGTGGTGACACTGGTCCAGCTTTTCACGTGGGTGATGGAGCTTCCAACTCAGGTCCTCATGATGCAAGCGCTCTCGTACTCTAGCCCTCTCCCCAGCCACAGAAAAAGAGAAGATTAAATACAGAAAAATGGATGTGGGGGAAGGGTGTTCCGGGAAGGGTAGATGGCATAAGGAAGCAGTGCAAGGTAAGCCGCCGAAGACGTCTGGTGGGGAGGTCTCCAGCTGGCGGCCTGTGGACAGAGAAGAAGGCGGTGTGCAGTGAAGCTGCTAGCTTCCGTCCTAGGCAGGGGATGACCCTTGCTAATCATTGCTTTGGAAGTCAGTCCTGCAGCAGCCGCCGCCAGAGAAATCCAAGAAGAAAGACAAGAAACAGAACGACCAGGATGCTCACAAAGGTGTCTGTGACAGACAAGTAGGCCTCAAAGAGGAGGAAACCAAAAAATATCTTTGGGGGAGGTATTTAGTTCTGAATATACATTAATAATTCTGGCTGCTATGACAGATTATTAAGATGCTTGAATTTGAGCAATTGTTCCAACTCTGAGTGACAGGGTCCATATCTGCACTGTAGGCAAAACAGTGTGTATTTCCTGGAATCAGTGTGAAGACAACTGGGGTTGGTTCGTGTAAAGTGTTCTGCCTGTGAGTGGGTGCTCTCCAAATAAGCATATTGTTTTATAATATTTTTTAAGCTAGTAGGATATTGTTCCCACATACAAATAGATACGATAGGCCTTCTCACCAGTCTGGGGTTCCCTGAGGGGTGAAGTAAAGACTCTGCAATAGTTGTGGGCACTATTCTTGGCAGGGATTCTAGGACACCAGAGCATTTCAACTTCCTCTGTACGGCTTCTATTCACAGGTTCATTTGAAGGGTCTGACCGTTTTGATTCAAAAAAAGCTGCATGGGACAGAGGGTCATTTCCTCTCCTCATCAATAAACTTAAGATGGAAGACTCAAAGACGTATATCTGCGAGGTGGAGAACAAGAAGATGGAGGTGGAGCTGTGGGTGTTCAGAGGTGAGTGGGGTAGCCCGGGAACACAGATGCCTCCTTACCCCCTTCCACGTCTGAGCTGATGACATTTCACAGACCACAGGGGGTCGGACCGGTCCTCTTGGCTAATGGGGGAGGGGCAAAGACTGAGAGAGAAGGAAAGCAGGGGGAAGGAACTGGAGGAAGGGAGAGGAGAACGAGGGGAACCCTGCCTTGTGCTGGGAACGGGCAGCTGGGAGTTAGGAGGGGAGGCTCTCTTGGGAGAGGGGACAGTGGAAGGATACTCTCGTTTTTTTCTTTCTTCTTTGTCCTTGGGGATGGTGTGTTGTGATACGGGTCATCTGCTTCTTCCACAGTGACTGCCAGTCCGGACACCCGCCTGCTGCAGGGGCAGAGTCTGACCCTTACCTTGGATAGCAGCAAGGTTACTCACCCCTCAATAGAGTGCAAAGGCCCTGGGAATAGCATTGTCAAGGGCTCCAAAACCCTCTCCATGCCCAACCTGAGGATTCAGAACAGTGGCATCTGGACCTGCACCGTAACCCAGAGCCAGCACAAGAATAACTTTGATATAAACATCTCAGTGTTGGGTAAGAGGCTCCCTCCTTGCAGCCTCCTTCTGGCTCAGGAACTCCCAGCCCTTACTCTTCTCTTCAGATGGTTTTGGGAGCTGCTGGAGTGGGTGACAGGGATGTATCCAGACCCCTCTCTAGCTGAGGTTTGTCCCGAGGTCCCTTCCCCCTTCAGGAGCCTGTTACAGCAACCTAGGGGAGTATACAAGAAGGAAGGCGTGAGCCTCCACCACCTGGCTCTCTTTCTCTTTTAGACTGGATCAATCTCACGTAGCCCAGGGTGGCCTTGAACTCCTGATCTAATCTTCAGGCAAACTTTGTTAGAACCCAAATGAAATATCACCACAGTGGCACACGCCTTTGATCTCAGCACTCAGGAGGCAAAGGCAGGTGGATCTCTGTGAATTCAAGGCCAGCCTGGTCTACAGAGTGAGTTCCAGGACAGCCAGAGCTATACAGAGAAGCCCTGTCTCAAAACAACAACAAACCATGATGGCTCACACCATCTGTAATGGGATCTGGAGCCCTCTCCTGTGTACATCTAAAAAA